GAGCATCAGACTGTTTTCCCCTGACCTATTTCCAAGAAGATAGATTTCCTATTCGAAGAGAGCATCCTGAAGAGCAGGGATTGAAAGTGGACTTCTCACGAAACACAGCCCATGATTGCAGAGTAATTTTCTCTGATAAATTATTCAGCCTTCATAATTACAACTACAGCTATAATTATATTACAAAAATTACCTTTAATAAAGATAGTAGGCACTTTGAGGCGGTGTGAATCTGGAATATTTAACACACATTATGTTTTATCAATTTCCCTCATGCACCTTTATTCATAAAAAAATTCTCAGGTGCCCTTCATGGAAGGTCACCTATTTACTTAGGGAATACACATTAAAATTTGTAGTTGCGGGGATAACAAAAACTAAAATTCACACAAAGAGATGAATTCAATGCTAAATAAGTGACATTTTGCATCATATATGTATACTCACACAAACACGCATGCTAATCTGCTAACTTGAAAATATTTAAAATGAAAACAGTACAATAAGCATATGCATGTTTCCTGGAATGCAGATTTTTCAGATGGCTATTTTGAAGAACCCAAAGATAATCTATTCATTTTGGAGAACCAAGCAGGATAAAAATAAGATAGGAAAGGTGTTCAAGTTATGCTCTTAATGTACACTAGAGAATTCCATTCAAGTAAGTAGAGTAGACATTAAAATTTCAAAAGGTATTGCATTCATTCATTCATTCATTCATTCATTCATAATTTAATAAATATTCCCTATGTGCCTTGTAACATTCTACATATAAAACAAACATTTCTGTCCTTATAAACCTTACATATTTCAAGCAGCAGCATCACTCAGGAACGTATAAATAAAACCCCAGGAACAGCATTGAGCAATAAATAAGAAAGCAAAAGGGGGCTATCAAGCAGTGTGGGCAAGAACACTTGGAGTTAATATGGTCAGGGAAGAGCTTAAAGGTGTTAAAATAGAACAGACATAATATGAGTCATAAGAAACCTGGAGATGGTAGAACTCATTTCAAGTACAAAATAAGCAACTGGAGTAAATCTAGGTGTCAAACAGTAAGTTTACTGGATCCTTTTTACTCTAGATCCCACAGGGTAACACTATTTTTCAAAAAGAGTCCGTCAAGGTTCAGCCTCCTGAGCAGTACTCACAGGAAAAAAGTGACTGAGCCCATAGAGGGTGGAGCTTCCTTGGGTCACCAAAGGTTGTGTCTACAGGAAAGGTCACTTACTGTTCCTTGGCTTTTCCCCATTTTCTGTCTCCCAGGCATGAGGTAAGCAGTTTGCTTCACCATACCATACCCATCATTGCCATTGCCACACATCACAGGCCCAAAGAAATAGGCCCATGAAATCTTGAATGGTAGCCCAAAATAAGCCCTTTGTCCTTATAAATTAGTTATCACAGGGGCTGGCTGGAGAGATGGCACAGTGCTTAAAAGCACTGGCTGTGCTTCCAGTAATCTCAGGTTCAATTCCTAGTACCCTCCTGGCAGCTCACAATGGTCTGTAATTCCAGTTCCAGAAGACTGTGTGCCCTCTTATTGCTTCAGAGTGCATGTATTACATATACACATGCACAAGAAAACCCATAAACTTAAAAAATTAAAGATAAAAAATAACAAATCTGTTAGCACAGATAATTGACACAGCTGAGAAATCAATAACAAACACCAGGGCTTTTCCACATTTGTCCCCACAGAGTAAAGAACCAAGCCCTACTCTGACTCTTGCATTACAGTTGAATTTGTTCAATGCTGTTATCCTTTATTCCAAACAAATTTGTGACAATACAAAGGCAATTTACTAAATGGAAGACAGACCTTAAAGAGGGCTCTAATTCCTGGACAAATGCCTTAGCAAAGGGTTGTTTAAAATAATCAGATGTGCAGATAACATAGTCATTTTGGAAAGGCTCTGACCCCTCCTTTAAAACTTTCACTCTTTCTTATCACTGAGGCGCATTAGCCTAAGGTTTTCAGTTTACTAATTGAATAAGAAACATTAATACATTTAAGTCAACTTTTACCAACACAAAGTGCGAAATGAAAATAAACCAAGGTAGATGAAATGAGTCCTGGTTCAAAGATTGTTCTTTCTGTTTGTTCTCAACAGCATTGCTCATTAAATCTTTCTGTCTTCCTCACTTGATAAAATAGAGACTGCAGGGAGCTGGGAGCAGGTAATCAAAGCAAGAGAACAATGGCCCTCACACTCTCTGTGGAACAGTTCTTCCCTTAATACTTTGGAGAAGAAAGCCTGGGGAATCAGAGGCTGACAGCAGCTGCGAAGAATGGTCCTCTTAAGTTCTTTCATGTCAGGCTACACTGAACTAGCACAGGAGTCAGAAGAGTCTCAGAGTTCAGATTCAGCAGGTGGAAATAAGATGAGTGTGCAGTAAGATTCTGGGAAAAACATGTGCACGTGATGCTCTTAAACAGTTACGTAATTTAAAGAGAACACCACAGAAAAAGACGCCACTCTTACTGTTTACAATTTCCATGAAGACTTATTTAACTCCAATGTTTGTGCATGCATCAAAGTCACTATGCTAACAGAGATAATAGCTTCATAGTGCATGAATAAACACCGAATTCTATAAATCTGACATCAATTAAAATGTGCAATTATCTTGAGCTTTCAAATTTACAAAATGAGAGTGTTGCATTGTGCCAAAATCACAGGAGTATTTTTTCAACCACAGATAAAACCTCTTCCAAAATGTGAAAAGGCAAGCCTATATATAATAAGTATGCAATACTTCAGTTTCTGTTTCCTCTTATATTAGCACTGTGACTCTCACATATTATTAGCACATTGATTCCACTGTCAACTCTGTGTGTGTATTTCATTTCACAAATGCAGATTTTCTACTTTCAGAACAATAACCAGTAGATCAAACAATATAGTGCAGCATTTCTTTTCAGTTTCATTTTTGGCCATGTCTTGGGCTACTCAGCATGTAATGTCATTTTGGCTACTGAAACTTATTTTAAGTTCTAGAGCAGTGGTTCTCAGCCTGTTAATTCACATGGGCTGCATATCAAATATCCTTTATGTCAGATATTTATATCATAGCTCATAACTGTAGCAAAGTTGTGATTATGAATTAGCAACAAAAGAGTTTATGGCTGGGGTATCATTGCAACATGAGAAACCATATTAAAAGGTCGCAGCCTTAGAAAAGTTGAGAACCACCGTAATAGGATAAAACAGGGTCCAAAATGATAGAATAAGCCCAAGAGATGAAATATTTCCTCCCCACTTCCTGATGTTCTTTTCACATGACCTAAGTTTGGCCGATTGAATTGCTCATCCAGTGTCACACAATATCGTTATACTTTATCAGTATAAGATTATTAGCAATGTTTGGATCCATACTTATTCATCACAGCCAAGGCATAATTGCTGCTGGCAACTTGAAAGTAGTGGTCAGAATGTTGCTAAATATATTCCAGTGTAGATGATGATATCCCATTGAAGAATTTTCTGATGCAATATGCCAATAGTGAGATAAGAAATTATGTCCTACAATTGTATTTCCACTTAAAAGATCACATACAGTGAAATGCTACAAAGCTAGAATAAATTCCCCATGATCCAAAATACTCAAATACTTATGCAATTACTTCTGGGACTTTGTGTCTACTTTGCTGATAATGGAAAAAAAGTATTAGCATCCATTCATCAACATCATGGTTCACCTAAGAACCACACATATAACTAATACATAAGAAGAGTGAGTGAGACAAAGGAATGAAGATTTTCAAAGAGCTTCAAAGGCACAGATGGTGATGGGATGACGTTCACAGTGTTGGCTCAGTACACACAACATTTGTATCAGAAGGGTGACAATCAGAGTCCATGTTCCCGGCAACCACTTAAAAGCTAGGTATGTGGGCACATGTCATGTCTCTGACCTATCATTAGGAAAAAATAAAAGATTCCAGGATCTCAGTGACCATCAAGTCTAGTCAAAACAGTGATCTTCATGATCAACAGGAGAACTCATCTCAAAAACGAAGGTGGAGAAGAATAGAGGAAGACACCCCCCACAAAAAAAAAACACCTCAGGCTTCGACCAATGCATGTGCACCTGCAAACCTGTGTGCATGCACATCCATGTACCACATTCAAGAAGGAAGAGGCAGGTGAGAAGCAAGAAGAGAGATTGTATAAATGGCTAAGAATATTAGGAGATAAAAGTTGGAGATGATGTTGTGGTTGAATTTCAAAATGTCTTGTATGCCACAGGAATTTTGATTTTTGTGACAGTATTTTTAAAATATATTTGAATTAAAATATGATGTCACTTCTTCCCTTCCCATTCTTCCCTCGGTCTCTCTAAACCAACCAACTGAAGAGGAAACCCATAGTGAGAACCTTTTTCAGCTTATACATCTAATAGGAGATTGATATCCAGAATACACAAAAAACTAAAAAACGAAGAGCCAAAAAGCTAAAGGACCCAGTTAGACATAGACTGCCAAACTCAACAGAGAGGTCTCAAAAGAAGAAATAAAAATAGCTAAGAAATCATCTTTAAAGTATTTAATATCTTCAGCAATAGAGAAATGAAAATTATAACTACCTTGAAATTTTAAGGAAAATGAAAAGAAAAAATATAGATGCTAGTCTAAAATGAACGATGCTATGTAAGGAGAGTGTGTAGGAGATTGTCAATCACATAAAGACGAGGATTAGTCTCCTTTAGTTTCAGGGGTGGCCATGAGGGTGGATAACAAAGAACAGAAGAGCATTTTAAACTATCCTGAACATTTGCTTGCCTCTCTCCAAGTAAAGTAAGTACCTTTCAGCACTATCAAATATGAATGAAGGCATTAAGAAAAATCTAAACTTGCTTACATGTAAGTCAGTATTCACTTTCAAGATTATAAAAAATCATTAGTACATGTCATTATATTTAGAATAATGAGAACATATGTTAGCTACATAACTTTTATATAATATCCAATGGGGAGAGAAAGTTTGTGACATTACCTGCTCCAAGACTTCCTTATAGGTGATAGTTGCTTTAGTGTTTGTAACAGGACTGTCATAGATGATAGCAATCTTATCCCCTTGGCCATTTTCAATGTGACGATCAATAGCATTGTAACAAATATTAAGCATCCCTTCCACAAACCTGAAACACATTGGAAAGAAAAATAAATGACTCTTTTCATGATATATTTTGTTTAATCACTTTGCTCCATATCTAGCTGCTCTAGATGTCCTTAGGACAGTGTTTTCTGTAGAGCTTCATGCTGGGAAATGATGGTAGTAAAGCACACATTTAAAATGACACCTAGAGAACATTTTTACTTTAATAAATATGGTTTTATATTAATGCATAACAGGAAAAATACACTTTGTACTTTCAACTGACAGCTTTGTGGATATTGTTGCTTGGGATGAAAGGGGAGTCTACAGTACCTGGGTAAAATATTTATAGAGGTGAAATGAATCCTACTACGTAAGTGTGGAGCAGAAGCATTAGAGATTATGAAAAGGGAAATGGTAGATGTATGGCGAACATTCTGTTAGCTGTTACAAATAAGCAAACACTAAATAAGTCAGTTCTTTGAAATACCTTGTCATAGTTAGCTACGGTTGTCAACTTGACATTGTTGGACAGAAACTGCATTGAAGAATTGTTTCCATTACAATTCCTTGTTTACATACCTTTGGGGACATTTATTAATTATTAATTAACAGTCCACTGTGGACTGTACCATCCTTAGTCTGATGAACCTGAACTATATAAGAAAGCAAATAGAGCAAGCAAGGAGAAACAAGCTATTAAGTAGAATTCTTCCACAGTCTCTGCTACAGTTCTTAGCAGTAAGTTCCTGCCCTGACTCTCTACTTAATGGTCTGTAACCTATATCAGATAAAACCTTTCCAGAGGACACACTGGCCAGTGAGGCAGGTAGGTGATCTTTGAACATTCACTATCTTCAAATCCTCCAAATCCAATTGCCCAGTCTCATCCCCAACTCTGTTACAGACTACTTGCTGTGGCCTCTCTCTGATCCCATTCACAGGAGTCTAAACAGATCATAGATTCCCAACCTGCTTCTCCCGCCCCCAGGACCTTCTCAGAAATTCCCTTCTAGCTCATCTCCATGCATAAACATAAGCACGCAACTCAAAGAAAGACTATAACCAAAACCACCAGTGACCACACTTGTCAGGATCTCAGAACCATTCTCTACCAGGCAATCCAAAGCCAATGTGTTCTCCTAAGATCCAGAGAGGGCAACAGTAACCAAGGAATGTAATACCAACCCAACAAAAACAAGGCCAGATATCAGCATCTAGTTCCCAACCAATAAAAACCCAGATGACTGGAAGCCAGCATAAAAACAGTTGAGGGATATTAATGACCATTGATAGCTCATTCTTCTTTGATTTGGAATTTCACCTCTTTTTTCTTTTGGCTGTTTGTAGAGAGGGATTCTCTAATGCTTATGTTTTTCTGGTTATAGTTATCTTCCTTGGGTTGGAGTTTTCCTTCCAAATCGTTCTGTAGGGCTGGATTAGTGGATATGTATTGCCAGAAAAATGGGAATAAACCTACCACAAGACCCACCAACTCCATTCTTAGGCATATATCCAAAAGATGCCCATTAATACGACAAGGATGTCTGTTCCACTATGTTCATAACAGCATTATTTGTAATATCCAGAACTTGGAAGCAGCCCAGATGCCCCTCAACCGAAGAGTGGATAGTGAAAATGTGGTACATTTACACAATGGAGTACTATTCAGCAGAAAAAAGCAATGGAATCCTGAGATTTGCAGGCAAATGGATGACACTAGAAGAAACCATCCTGAGTGAGGTAACGCAGTCACAAAAAGAGAAACATGACATGTACTCTCTCATATATGGATTTTAGACATACATCTGGGGAGTGCCAGCCTACAATCCCATGGCCAGAGAGTCTGGGAAACAGAACCTTCATTCAGTGGCTGATGGAAGAAGAGGCAGACTCCCACGGCTAAGCACTGAGCTGAACTCAAGAAAGCCAGTAACAGAGAGGGAGAACTGATGACCAAAGGCATTATGACTGGGCTGGTTTAACCCCCCAGAAACAGCTGACCTGAGAAGGGTTAGCTCTTGAATCCCAGGCTGATGCCTGGGAATCCAGCATGGGACTGATCAAGATCCCCTGAATGTGGGTGTCAGTGAGGAGGCCTAGGAAATCTATTGAGCCTTAGGCAGTAGATCGGTATTTATCCCGAGTATACAAATGGACTTTGGGTGCTCATCCCACAATGAGAGATGCACTCTCATCCTGGACTCTTGGGGGCAGGGTCTGGGCCTTGCCCTAGATGAAATGACAGACTATGGACACCCCATGGAGGGCCTCACCCTCCCTGGGGAAATGAGGAGGTACTGGGGGGGTTGGGGAGAGGGCACAGGAGGAGGGGAGGGAAAGGGAGAGGGACCTGGGATTGACATGTGAAGCAACCTTGTTTCTAATTTAAATAAAAAACACCATAGCAGCTGGGACAAAATGTCCCCACTAAAGCCCAACAACCCTACTACAGTGGGCCATAAGGAATACATCATAGAAGAAGCACAAGACAAGGACTTCAAAATAGCCTTTAAGAATATGTTAAAGGCACTTAGAGAGCAAATGGATTAATCCCTTAAAGAAATCTGTAAAAATGCTGACAGACAGTAGAACAAAAAGAAAACAGTTCAAGACCTGGAAGTGGAAATAGAATCAGTAAAGAAAACTAAAACTGAGGGAAAACTAGAAATGAAAAAAAATTAGGAATTTACCTTAGAGTAAAAAGACAGAAAAGATATTCCAAGAAAATGAACCTAGGAAGCTAGGTAGCCATTTTAATATCTGACAAAATAGGCTTAGACCCAAACTAATCATAAGAGATAGAAAAGAAAACTACATACTCATCAAAGGAAAAATCTACCAAGATGACATTGCACCAAACACAAGGGTACTCCAGTTCATAGGAGAAACACTACTACAGCTTAAATCACATATTAACCCACACATGCACTGATAGTGGGAAACTTCAATACTCACTCTTGCCAATAACACAGGTCATCCAGAGAAACACTAGGCAGAGAAATACTGCAACTAACAGGTACCATAAGCCAACTGGACCAAACAGATATTTATAGAACAGTTCACTTAAAAACACAAGAATATGCCTTCTTCTCTACACTTCGTGAGCTTTCTCTAAAATTAACCACATAATCAGACACAAAGAAAGTCTCAACAGATATATTAAAAAATAATAAAAATAACACCCTTCATCCTATCTGACCACCATGGATTAAAGCTGGGTATCAACAACAGAGAACTTACAAATTCATAAAAACTTAACACCTTACTACTTAATGAAAAATGGGACACAATGTATTAAAGCAAGTAAAGACTTTCCATAAATGAATACAAAACATACCCAAAATTGAGATACTATAAAAGGTGATAGTAAGAGGAAAGTCTGCACAAGCCGGGAAAAGGCAGAAATAAAACAGATCCTGCTCCATGAACAAGGCAGAGGGACAGAGATGTAGCTTCATTGGCAGAGTGGTTTTCTAACAATCAAAAGACCCTTGGTTAGATCCCCAGTAATGCCCGGTGACATGCTCGTGCCATTCTAGCGCTCTGGAAGTGGGAGCAGGAGGATTAGAAGGTCCAAATTCATCCTTGGCTGCATATCGAGTTCAAACCCTTCTGAGCAACACGAAATCCTCCTGTCTTAGAAGCATAAGCAAAGTGGAAAAAGAGAACAAACTCCTGAAAGTTGCCATCTGACTTCCACATGTGCGCTCTCACATGCACAAACCACACACACACACACACACACACACACACAAACACACACACACACTAATAGTAAAAACTGTGGCTGTCTCTATGACGTAGGTACCATCACAATTCACCACAATTTACATACGGGAGAACTCATGGCAGCTTAAACAAAACTGAGCCCTTCCACACTATATGACTTTTGCAACAATGTTCACAGCATTTGGGCTTTTGCCTGTTGTTCAAAACTTGTGAGTAGATTGGTATTTGCATTAGTAGCACATTACAGCTTTCCCTTTCAAGAATATGCCTAAAGAAATTTAGGAAAGAATAATGTCCTTGGGGGCAGTTCGGAAGGCGATCCAAAGATGAGGAAGGACACGGAAGCAGTGCTCCACAGAACTGTGTGGCAGGAGTGAGCGAAGCATCACGGCCCTTCGGAGTTACATGCAGCTAGTGAATCCAGCAGCACAGATTGACCTAACACAGAGAGGGCTGTACTGTGGATGACTGGATCAAACGAACTGCGAGGGACTTTTAGCTCAAGGATTTATTTGATTATTCTACTGTGACAAGATGCTTATTTCTCTTTAAATCAAATCATTTCGGTAAAGGTCAATTGAAAACCTACGTGCTGTGTCTCTGCTGCGCCTTCTAAGTCCCTCAGTAGATTTTAAATGAGAGTCTCTCCAGATTATAAAAAATAACTAATGCTCCAAAAATTAGACTTTACAGTGCTTTGATTCGCTTACAAAGTGTAAATATGGCTCATTGTACAGATAATGTATTACTTTTACTCTGTTGGGGGAAGGGGGATGGCAGTGGGACCGGGACTTATCCTGAATGCGTGAACTGACATTTTGGAGCCCATTCCCTACGGTGGAATACCTTGTTCAGCCTTGATACAGTAGGGAGGGGCTTGGTCCTGCCTCCACTTTGTATACCAGACCTTGTTGACTCACCAAAGGAACCCATACCCTCTCTGAGGAGTGGATGGGTGGGTTGGAAGGGGTTAGATGGGGAGCACGAGAAGAGAGACGGGGAACTGGGTTTGATATGTAATATTAAACATATATTTAATAAAAAAGAGAAAGAAAAAGGATGTTGAGTGATGACATAATATTCTATTCAATCACTACTCCATGATAAAGCTAAAACTGAGTAGCTGAAAATTGTCTTTAATAAAAATATTATTATTGGAGTATCCTGGAGAGAAATATTAGCCATATTGTTTATTTCCAACTATAGTTTCAGGTTGTAGTCCTCCAGTTCAGCATGTGCATACCTACATTAAGGTCAGATAGTCAAATTTCTGGAAAGGCTGAATTGGTTTACACCACCATCAGTATTACC